CTGTCAACTGCTGCCCTGGTGCTCTTCAAAGCACTCTAAGCTGAATTATTCAGAAATGGACAGCTAACCCATTTGATCCGACCGTTTTGGTTTTATCAAAGGATTGGGGGATGAGGTGTACATAGGGAAATGCAGTTGAAACTACCCAATAAGCTCGTTCTTCTTGTAGAATCACAGAATTGTTTGAGATGGAAGGGACCTTGAGTTGGAAGACCACCCAGTCCAACTCCCCTGCAATGAGCGGGGACATCTGCAGCTCAGTCATAGAATTATAAAATCACACAATTCAATCAAAGAATCACAGAATCTTTTGAGTTGGAAGGAACTTCTAAAAGTCATCTCACGAGCAGGGACACCTACAGCTCCATGAGGTTGGCCAGATCAGGTTGTACCCATAGATTGGCACCAATGAGCTTAGGCCAAAAACTGGTATTTTTTTTCAAACACAAGTGGTGTAACATCTAGAAAAGGTACGAAGGAAGTAAGAAGGAGCTGAGATCCCAGGCAAGAACTGGAGAAAGGGAACAAGAAAACATTCAGTCCCATAACCAGAGAGTCAGCTGGGTTGGAAAGGACCTTCAAGTCCAGTATTATTTATACAAAGTATGTGTCCTTCTTCATCTTTGCTATGATCCTCCCATCTTTCCTTCCCTGTCGGCATTAGTCTGATAGTGACAGGATAAGGAGGGATGGCTTTAAACCAAAGGAGGAAAGACTGAAGCCAGATGTTAGGGGGAAATTCTTTACCTAGAGGGCAGTGAGGCCCTGGCACAGAGGATCTGTGGGTGTCCCATCCCTGCCAGTGCCAAAGGCCAGGCTGGATGGGGCTCTGGGCACCCGGTCAATGGATATGTCCTCATGGCAATGGCTGGGTTGGGTGGATTTTAAAGTGCCTTCCAACCCAAACCACTCAATTCTATGACTCTACAATTATCGGATAACTTTCTAGGATGGGAGAACCCTTCAGGTCGGAAAGAATAACAACGCGCCGCAATTCCTTTGGTCTGGAGCACAGCAAAGGGGCCGGCGCTGGGCTGCCCCATTCCCTGCTCCATGAGATGCTCACCTTGTGTGAAAGCTTCTTGCATGTCCCCGATGTCCTGGGGGCCGTGTGTTGGTGTGGAGCCAGCAGAGGTGGATCTGACGGGCATGGGCAGCGGGCGGCCGGCTCCGTGGGTGGGTGATGAGTGCGCCGAGCCCGCTGCTTGCGCCTGCACGGAGACACAGTGTGCACTTCTTACACTTGTTTTGGGTCAGCGTCTAAAAATAATGTTGTGAAGCATGCAACCATGCTCTGCAGCCTGCTTTGTACAGAGCTAACTGCTGTTGGACAGTGAGGTTAGAAAACCAAAAGCTTAGCTTTACAGCATCCAGGAACAGCAAATGCACGATGAGGGGCTGAGCAAGCCCACAAGTGCCATGCAAGAGATTCATTAATACTTGTTCCTAAAAAACGCATTAAAAACAAAACAAAAAAACCCAACTTTTTTTCTGGCTGTTCTTTAACTATCCAGAGCTGCCCTGATCATCCCAGTGCTCTGCGATCCTACAACCCAGGCATTCTCTGCAGCAATTTCTACCTCAGCACACTCTACACCCTCTTGCTCAGTTCACGACCAGCTCTGCCATGCTTTGCTAGCCATGATTGACGACCTTAACCTGTATTTATATTTAAGCTGTGCTACCATGGATGAGGGGAAAACTACCCACAAAAAAAATCACATGAAAGCTGCACAACCCCTGACCAAACTCATTCTGTTTGTGCCATTCTGTTTGCTTCCTTTCCTCCGACTCGTGCATCCTTTGCTCCCTTTGACGTGCACCAGTTACCAGGGCAACCCTGCAACACCGCTGCACTGTGCCCAGCGCTCCGGGCACAAAAACCCGCCAGTGTGCAAAACTGTTGGTTTGAAACTGCACTGATAACACATGGAGTGAAAGAAGCGAGCGAAATATTCTCATGGCGCTGGCAGGGGAGACGGCTGCTGCAGGAGAGAAATGGTCTTGCAAAGATAAAATGGTTTGCAAATAAAACAAATACACAGGAAACATCATCAGCTCCATCGAGTGGATAAAGCTGTGCCTCTGCCCAAGCTGCCAGCCAGATGCAGGGCCAGCTCCATGCATCTCCACATCTGGGCCGTGGCACTCCCCAGATGTGCGCTCACTGGGACTGCAATCATAGAATGATAGAATGGTTGAGTTGGAAGGAACTTTAAAGATCACAGAACCATAGAATTGTCGGGTTGGAAAGGGCCTCACATCCCCCACAGCCCCACTCCCAGCCACGGGCTGGTTGCCCCCTATTAGCTCAGGCTGCACAGAGCCTTGAGCAACTCAATGGATGGGGCCATTGGTTCACCTGGGCATCACCTCAGAGGAAATAATTTCCTCCTTACATCTAACCTAAACCTCCCCTGAAGGACCCCCCAAGCTCCATGCTCCCAGCCCCAGCCCAGCCTCCAGCCCTGGCGACACCTGTATTCTACTGCCACGTGCCTTTGAGACACGTCAACTAAATCTGCGTTCTTAGAACAAGTGCCCAAGGAACTGAAATTGTTTTTCTCAATCGTTGGGCACGCAGATGGGCTGTGCCAATTTGCATACGGCAACAACTAGAGCAGAGGGGCTGGGAACGTCCCTCACTCTCACAGTGACGCAGTTCCTGGAAATCTGAGTGATTTCGAGAAAAGCTGGTGACGGCACACAGCCAATGTGGCATGGAGAGCAGCTTGGGGGCAGCACCGTGCTTCCTGCTGTGCAGCAGCCCCTGCTGATGTGACCTGCAGCACCTGTTGGCCAAAAGAGGATCTGAAAGCTCTGGGGCGCAAGTCGCCTTCGTGGGGCTCTCAGGCAGTGAATCACAGAATTGTGGAATCACTGAGGTTGGAGAAGACCTCTAAGGTCCCCAAGTCCAACCCCAGCCCACCCCACCATGCCCACTGTCCACATCCCTCAGTGCCACATCCCCACGGTTCTGGAACACCTCCAGACTTGGTGACCCCACCACCTCCCTGGGCAGCTGTGCCACTGCATCACTGCTCATTACGAGAATAAATGTTTCCTAGTGTCCAACCTGAAATTCTCTAATTCCAGGCAAAATAAAACTATTCTACATATCGATCTCACTCTTCTTGTACTTTATACAGCAAATGTGGTTCTCATGCATTGCTTGGGTGTTTCCACTCCCGTGGAAGAATTACATGTGTGGAAAAACGGTGCATGACCTTTAGGCAACATTTGTGATGCATAACCATACAGCAAAGAGAAAGGAGAACACGTGAGCTGTCTGTACGCTGCCGTTGTTTGCGAACCATGAGCACGATTTGGGAAAACCAGAAAGCAGCGGTGGGACCGTACAGCCCGGTGTCCTAGAAAGCAGATTATTGACTGAGAAAGCAATAAAGACATCTGGTGCACGCAGACACATGCGGAAGCGGAAGGGAAGAGCTGAGGAGTCCCCCCAGCACGGGCGGTCGTAATGTGAACCGCAGGTGCCGGGCTGGGCCCCATAGGAGGAAGCGGTGGGCGGACGCGTGGGCAGGGGACGGGGATGGAGGAGGCACGGACAGATAATGGATGAGCTCAGGAGCTGTTCCCGAGGCGGAATGGGAAAGCAATAAATCACTCCTACAGCCTTCCTCCTCCTCCAAAGGCTGAAGGAAGGAACAGGGCAGGTCGTAAATACTGAGCTGAGGCTGCTCTGAGGTTGTCGAAGTGAACCCAACGCAGGGCGCACGGCAGTGTGTGCACAGGAAGCTCTGGGGTTCGTTGCAGCAGAACCGTGAGCAGGCTTTTAAGTTCCTCTCTGATGCAGTTGGGTTATGGGAAGAAGAGTGCAACGTTAAGCATCCTGAAATACTTCTGGAAATGGGATGCAGAAGATGTATTTCCACTGATAAAAACAGCCAAGGAAAGCCCTGACCCAGCTCCTGAAATGTTTGGGAGCTGACTCGGATGGACTGGCCCCAGTTTATCAAGACTTGCATACAGCAGCTCTGAGGTTTAACCTGAAAAGCCCTAAATATCTCCTGAAAAAAAACAGCTCTAGGCTTTGCATCAGAACAAGACGTGTTCTGATGGGAAGAAGGGACAGTAACATCTCTCACTGAATGGAAAAGGGCCTCTGGAGGTGTCCGCTCCATCCGCCATACCCATCAGCAGTTCCGCTTCCAGGGAAGCTGGGGTAGATGACCCCAGAAGGACCCACGTTTGTTTGTATGATTCTGTGATCCTACCGAGAAACTAAGAACATTTGCTTTGCAAGGAATTTACGTTGACTTTAATGTGCTTTATCGTCTAACATATTCCCGTGAATAGATTAAAATAAAAGAGATCTCGTGTACCTATAAAAAGCTAACATTTTCTTAGAGAAGCGATTTAGACAAGTAAACAACTCATCATGCCCCAAATAACTAACTCCAGAAAACGCTGCAGAAATGGATCAGAAATGAAAAGAACGTAAATGCGTGGCCTACAACACTCATTTTTTGTTCTGTATCTTCGCTGTAGGAAATTAAGGAAATCAGACAATGTCAAACGGCATCCGAGGAAAAGCAGGAATCTTCATTAGAAAGTGAAATGGGAACAGGCTTTTCATCTGCATATCATGCATGTTCACTTTCTAACTTGCATTTTCTATAAAAGAGGGGAAATTCAGGATAGATGTTATAGGGAAATTCTTTATGCAGAGGGTGATGAGCTGCCCAGAGCTGTGGGGGCCCCATCCCTGGAGGTGCCTGAGGCAGTGGATGAGCCCTGAGCAGCCTGAGCTGCTGGGGAGCACCCAGCCCATGGCAGGAGTGGGGTTGGGGGAGGGGCTGTAAGGTCCCTTCCAACCCAACCATTCCATGGCTCTGATCTTTAAGTCTCTTCCAACCCAACCATTCCATGGCTCTATGATCTTTAAGTCTCTTCCAACCCAACCATTCCATGGCTCTATGGTCTTTAAGTCCCTTCCAACCCAACCATTCCATGGCTCTATGGTCTTTAAGTCCCTTCCAATCCAACCATTCCATGGCTCTATGGTCTTTAAGTCCCTTCCAACCCAATTATTCTGTGATTCTATGATACTATCTTCTTTTCTGTCCTTATTTAAGAACTACACGGCAGCTCTTGACACTGATCTTCTCAGGATAATTCCCAAGGCCCACGCTGAGTGACTTCTCCCACAGCCTCACGGCTTGCCCTGCACCAGATTTCCACTGCTTGTAGCCTACAGGCCCCCATCCATCCCCTTCATTTCAACAGAAAGCTGTCAAGTCGGAAATCAAGTTGCACTCTCCACGGATGTATGGGTCACCCGCCTAGCCTACATCATCTGTGTTTAGAATTTCACACATATACAATCCAAACGCTGCAGTGCCCTTGCATTCCTTTGCTCATTTTGGGGCTGAGCCAATGCAATAAGTAGTGTCGGAAAGCCTGAAAGCAATGAGCTGAGACGCTCCCTGCGCCGGGGTTAATTTTGTTTAGAAACGCCCTGAAATATTGGGGAAATTTATGAGCGCTGAAGAGTGCAAATATTTTATTAAAGTGAATATTATGGACTACCACAGGCAGGTTAGTGAGTAATCCTTGACAAAACAATCAAACTCACTCATAAAACTCATTCTTTTTTTTTTTTTTTTTGAGTTTTTATCCTGTGAGTGGGTGCCAGACAGCTGATCTGCTGCAAACAGGCCCTGCCATGTGAGTTTAGGTGCTCAGGGAAAGTGGAGATGTGGTGGTCAGTGGGCATGGTGGGATGGGCTGGGGATGGACTTATGATCTCAGACATCTTTTCCAATCTGAATGATTCTGTGGTTCTCTGAGCATGGCCGTCACGATGGGTTGATGACCACAGAGATCTCGATGAGCTTCGTGGCTCTGATTCCGTGATTTGACTTCTGTCCTTGAGAAGATAAGTTTTACAGACAAGGCTCAGTCAAAAGACAACAGAAATTATCCATCCAAAGGGCACTTGATCGATGCTTCCTTGGCCAGGAATCCCCCATAATTGTGAACTTGTTAGCAAGCTGGTGGAGGCCTGGGCTCAGCCTTGGGCTGCCTGGGCCCTTCCAGTCACCCCACTCCTGCATCAATAAGCAATGTGTGATGTCAGGCACTTTTGTACAGTTTAGAACTAACAAAAGCTGCTATTTACAAAGGTGAGGTGCTGAGATAGGAGGCTACTTGCTGACACAGGCCTGACATGAACAGAATCACAAAAAACACAGCTGTAAGGAGACAGCCCACTCACCATTCACTCTACAGCTGGACCGGCTCTCAAAAATCCCTTCCTGACAGATGTTTATCCAACATGCTCTCACAAACCTCTTCATTCACATTTTCCTAAGGCCTAAATGAAATGCCTAAATGAAATTTTCAGCACTGAAACCTCCGCTCCTCGGGATGAGGACAGCAGTGCTTCCTTTCTCCTCGGGTTGATCGCCTGTGTACTCAAAGATTTCCAAAACCTGCTCTCAGTCCCCTCTGCTCTGAAGTAAAAACACAATTTCTTCACTTTTTTTTTCCTTCTCCAAATATTCCTGCAATTTTTCAGGATCATTTCGAATTCTCAACACGCTCTCTGAAGCCCTTGCAATCTTCTCCTGTTTGATGCCATGAGCAAATCCATGTCCCTTGCAGGAAGACTGAACAGTAATTAATTCAGGGCAGAAATAATGAACTATAGAGGAATTTCAATTTACACGTCTCTCTATTCTAACAGGAAAACCTTGACAAGTGACCTTGGAGAAAACTTCTGCAACCAAAGCTGTAGCTGCTGTTGCATGAGGCTCACCAGCTCCGTGCTGCTTCGATGCTACAGAAAGAAGGATTTGTTCCGGAGTTACCTGCAGCACTGCAGAGAAGAACTACAACAGCAATGCTTTTTTCTAACACAGATGTACCTGAATTGTTTTAACCTGTGATGAAAACTAGAAGCCCATCGAGCTACTTTGGCACAGGGCCTTGTCCTCGTCTGCTTTTGTAGAATCACAGATTCAAAGAATCACTCAGGTTGGAGAAGACCACTAAGATCCCCAAGCCCAACCCCAAGACGTTCCACCATGTCCACCCCCCACGTCCCTCAGTGCCACGTCTCCACATTCATTGAACACCCCTAGGGATGGTGAACCACCTCCCTGGGCAGCTGTGCCACTGCATCACTGCTCTTTATGAGAAAAGTTTTTGGACTTGTTGGCTCAGCACATTGATGCAGCCTATCCAGATCCCCCTGTAGAACCTTCCTGACTTCGAACAGATCAGCACGTCCTCCCAGCTTTGTGTCACCTGCAAACTTACTGAGGATGCAATCAATCCCCTCATCCAGATGGTCATTAATGACATTCCCCAGGGGGAGAAACCAAGTGATGTGAGTGGGGACTGCTTGGTTTTGCCACTTGTGGTTTGCTTTCTTGCTGCTACTTGAAAAACTGTTGATGCTAACCAGAAGTGGAGAAAAAAACTCTTTCAGTGCTACAGGTGAAACCCGTGGTTAACGCCATCCTGATCAAAACTTACGCCTAGGATAATTCACCCCTTTTTTCTGCAAATTTTTCTTTTAGAGAATAAAATACCGAAAATGATATTGCTAAGCTCAGACACCCCACCAGTACATCTTGTTAACCTTATTGCTGTAAGGAAATTAAATTCTACCGTCCTCTGTGGCACATTAGCCCAGGCGATCTGCTTGCACACACTTCCTGCCTCCATTTTATGCATTACAGTAAAATTGACACTCACATAGAAGCACGCTACAAAGCTCGTTAGCGCAGCCAGCCATAAAACACGCAGAAATATATATAGGAATACAGACACATATCTACAGAGGGCTCACGGGGAGGGGGAATGCACTGCAAACCCTCCAGCACAGCCCCCAGCCAGCACTGCGCCGGACCCCCGCGTTGCAGCCATGTGCAACCATTGCCCATGGAATTAGATCAGATGCACACAGACACAGCAACGCCTCGCGGAGCACGGAGCCGGCAGTGAAGCATTATACCCCGTGTTAATTAACAACGGTGGAACGCCCCGGAGCAGCAAAATGCTGCAGCACAGGGCAGGACTCATCGAGTCCTGCTGCCAAGCTGGTAGATCTCCAGCCTCAGCGCTATTTCCACTGCTGTTCTGGCAACCTGATTGCATTACTCAGCTCTTTTTCCAATTTGCCTTTTCAGCGTTAATTGTAACGCACAGATAACCCGTTGCTTCAGGGCAACTGCTGTATGCAGCTTCCCCGCTGCCAGGGGATGTGAGTATTTGGTGCTGACTGTGGCAACAGGAGCACTGCATCCCATGGAGCTGCAGCACCATTGGATGGAAAAGTCCTTCAGGGTCAAATCCAACGCTACCAACAAGTTCAGCCATCAGGACAGCACTACCGAGGGCTTTGGGAGGTGAAGAGCAGCAAGGATGATCCTTGCTGTATCACAATAGAAGGAAGGGGGGAGGAGGAAGAGGAAACTCCATTCGTTTTTTCCATGGGTCAGTAGGAAAACCCTCATCTTCTCCAGTCCCAGAGCACCGTCTGAGCTCCTCCATTCACGGAACGCTGTTTGTTTTCATTCCTCCCGATCCCCCCAGCTGTGGGATAGAGAGCAGGGATCAGGAAACAATAAAATCTTGGTTACCACACAGAATGCCTTCTTTCTCCTCGCTTCTTTCAAAGCCTGACATTTTTGCTTTCATCCACCATTTCCACAGTCGTGGGGCATGTGCCGTCCCCCCTTCCAGCAGGGCCTCACGCGGGGATTCAGTCCCTGCACTCAATATGTACCAGATTGTTCCCTTCACCGGCCTCGAGTGCTTCCCCACTCCCGCCTGGCTCGCTCTCTCCTTGCAGTGTTCCCAGGGCTCTTACAGTTTCAGTTCCCATACAATCCCCCGGCGGACTTGCATTACAAAGACTAAAAGCAAGTGTTATCTTTCAAAATTATCCGTGCCGTGTTTTCAGCCCTCTCAGCTGGCACTCTCACCACGTTAACTCATCTGCAACCTAACACGGATAGAAAGATTTCCACCTCGGCTCTGCTCCGATGCCCTCCTCCTGCAAAAGCCTGCTGGGGGCTCACCCCACAGCCCCAGGCCTGGGCTGTGATAGAGGAGAGGTCATGGCTCTGTTCTGGGGGCACCCAGAGAGCTTGGAGCAAGCGGGGGCTGCCAGCAATGCCTGTTCATCACAGAATCATACAATTGTTAAAGTTGGAGAAGACCTCTTTTAAGGAAAAGCCAAGAGCATCAAGGCCAACCATCAATCCGCCCCACCATGCCCACTAACCATGTCCCTAAATAGAACTGTAGAATCATTCAGGTTGGAAAAGACCCCTATAATCATCTAGTCTATCCGCCAATCCAACTCCACCATGCCCACTGACCACTTGGTGCCACATTGACACGTTTGTCAAACACCTCTGGGGAGACAGACATTACTCAAGTATACACAAAGGGCCCCAGGCCCAATTTCCCAACCATAAAAATGCCCAGGAATGCTCACCTGAGATGAGCATGATCAGAAGGTGGTCTGCAGCTCTGCCTGACTTCCAGCACAATGGCACTACGGCAGCAGAGCACCGAGAGCTGTGCTGATCACTGCAGGCTGACACAGGGGAGGAGTCGCCTGCCCTTAGAAAACTTCCAGGATGTGCATGGAACCAGTCCTCAGCATGGCAGGTTGCTGTGGGCTCACCCCGATGAGCAGCAGGAAGGTGATGTGGTGGCATGGTGCCTCCGGGACCACAGAATCATAGAATAGTTTGAGTTGGAGGGGACCTTTAAAGGTCATCTAGTCCAACTCCCTTGCAACGAAGAGTGACTCGATGATCTAAGAGGTCTTTTCCAATCTTAATGATTCTGTGATTCTATGCTGTGTGTCAGGAAACAAATCTAGAAGCTACAACAACTGACACATGGTAGGTGCCCCTGTTCACTGCAGGGGAGTCGGACTGGGTGACCTTTAAAGGTCCCCTCCAACTCAAATGGTTCTATGACTCTGAGAAAGCACATTAAAACACAAAACTCATCCCCTGACATTTTGCCGTTTCTCCCTCCACATAGGCAGCCTATGGCTTAAGAGAAAAGAAGTGCTGGTAGCTGTTGGCCAGGAAATATGGACTACGATAATGGATGCCACCCAATTAAGGAGCTTAGGGGATAAGTACCAGAACTAATGGGGCTCTGAATACATCCAGCTTTTAAAGTCACTGATTAAATTCTTGGTAGCAAGAATACGAAGCTAAAAATACAGCATATAAACAAGTTTGCACATGAGCTTCTAAGCAGGCAAGGGCATGTGTCTTACAGGAAAGTTGTACACAAACCACAGTTCTGCCTAAATACTTGACAGACGTTGACAACAAAGAAGTACCTTTGTAATCTTGCACGAGCAGGGAAAAAGCTTCCAAAGCCTGCAACTTCCAACAGGATACACATCTTGAAGCACCAACTTAATGCATCCAAAGAATAACGCCGTGTTGGTCAGCCTGATGGGATAGCCACTGCCCCAAAACAACGAAAATACGGGAAGCGAGCATGTGAGATGCTGAAAAAATGGCCAGTCCATTTGTGGCCATGAGACAGACACCCAGAATCTCCCAGCTCAGAGCACAGAGTCGTTACGTGATACTCAGGATCAAGGAATCTGCCCGAGGCATTGCACAATAACAGGTTACAGGCAGGAGATAAACGCAGTGTTTGGTTTTGCTCTCTGTAACAGTTGTCAGCACGGGTCAGCCAGCAAGGCAGAGCCATGATTTGTGGTTATCTGTTGCCATGAAAGAGAGAGAAGAGAAAAGGTTCTGCTGAAAGATGATCTGCAGGCTGGAGGATGCAAGTGATATGCAATAGATGAATCCTCAAGGATTTGTCTATTTAATATTCTAATTATGCGCACAAAAATAACCACGCTCTAATGAAACTTCCTGATGACATAAAGGTTAGGATGAATCATTAATACAGAGGAAGATCAGAACACTGCAGATCAGGAATGGCTCAGAACAGCAGTGGCATGGAGAAGCCCTGGGAATGCAGATGGGAACTGGAGCTGGGTACCAGGTACATACTTGCCATAAATCACAGTGCTGCTTCCTCCTCTATCAGAAAGAGGAATTCATGGCATAAAGGAGAAAAGAGGCGGGGGACACACACTTTGTTTTCCAGCTCTGAAAAAGAGAAAATAATATTGCTACCTAATCACAGAATATCCTGAGTTGGAAGGCACTCATAAGGAGCACAGAGACCAACTAAGGACAATGGCGCTTGGAAAACCCAGACAGAAAGACACCAAAAGTTCTCTGGGTATGTATCCCAAAGTAGGTGCCCAAAGGAGAAGCAAAGAAAAAGAAATGATGGTTAACAATAAGAACTGGCTGCATCTGTGCTTTGATTGCAGAAATTTTTGATGGTTGGACTTCGTAATCTTGGAGGTCTTGTCCAACCTGAATGAGTCTGTGACTGGTCATGGTGGGAATGGGTTGATGGTTGGACTTGGCGATCTTGGACGTCTTTTGCAGTCTTAATAATTCTATGGTTCTATGTTATGTGCTTGAAATCTTAAACCCAACTTTTTTCCACTTAGGAAAAGTGAAGAGGAAAAGATGTGTGTGGGTAGTAATGCCTCTCCTTAAGTATTTTTCCTACAGAATACAGAATTCCAGGATCCTGACTACAGGATCAGTGAGATAACTGATACAAAGAGTGCTAACCCAATCAAGTATCACAGCAAATGAGGGCTCAGAATGAGATGTTCTTTAAGCAACTGCTTGCCAAGCAGAGAAGTGAAGTTGTGTGGTTTTGTTAGATTTGAATTGGAACTAGATGATCTTAAAGGTCTCTTCCAACCCAAACCATTCTATGATTCTATGATTCTACAGGTCTGTGAGGATTCCATAAGGAACAATGTTTGTGCCTAGGTGGGTTAGAAAGGACAATTCCTCTACAAAACTAACCATGCTTCATCATGGTGCACCAAGACGAAATTACTGATGCTGGGAAGACTGGTGCTTGTTCTGGGACCAGTTTTTTAACTTGATTCTGTACAGCATTTTTGCTATTCAGCGCATTGCTCTCTGAAGATACTTATCTTAAAGGCAGTAGGTTGGATGACTTGAACCCAAGAGTCCCCAAAGAGCTGCTTGACAAGGTTTTCGGTCTGCTGAAATCCATTTTAATAAATCCTGAAGTGAGAGGGAAGCTCCAAGTGATGTATTAGCATTTTCCTTGATAGTACTAAGCAGGAAGAGCAGAATGACTGAGTAGTTAAGAGCAGTTATCCTTGGAGTCAATAAGTGGGTGTCAATGGTGATGGTAGTGAAATACTTGAGCAAAATAATTCTGGACACTACACTGTGCAACAAAGAGTGCAAAGGAGAAGGTGCTGTGAAGAGAAAAGCCAAACAGAGGCATTATTGCAAGATTTGTAAAGATCACTGATGGCAGCAGTCTGGGATGCCTCCCTCTTCCCAGAGTATCCTAAAGGTAATTAAGAGCTCACTTTGGGCACGTGTATTCACCAGATGAAAATACAGAACAGCAGAGGTGTTTAATCTAGTCAGGAAAGGAAAATCAAAGCCAGCTGGAAACTGAAGGCATGTACATTCATCCTGGAATGGAGACAATGTGTTTTTCATGGCTTACGATGTACCGTGGGGATAAACCATGATGGACACCAATGGACCCTTCATATCATTGTGTTTTATCATAGAACCATAGAATCAAGACTGGAAAAGACCTTAAGATCATCAAGTCCAACTTTAGAGATATTTCTGACTAAACAAACTACCAAATTTTATCTAGGAAATAGCCTCTGAGCTCATCCTCAGAAGCAGGTGTCAAACATCAATGTATTAGCACCACGAAATTCGTATGTGCAACATTTTCTAATAGTTGAGAACCTTTTGCTATGCAAATGTTTTCCAAACATAAAAGTATTCACTGAGAGGTGAATTTACAAGTCTTGAAGATTTTTTATTTTTAAACAAAAATCATTTTCTACGTTCAGACAACACAAACTTGGAGTGCATAAACAACAAGTCGTAGGGGAACAGTAGCATTCCTCAGCAATTCAAACGTTTCAGTCTTTTAAAATAGGCTGCTCCAAGGAAAAAGCAACTGCTACAAGGAACAGATAAATGACTGAAATCCATTAACAGAGAAAACTGTTTCTTGTAGCACCGTGCAATTACTGAAAAATCTGATTTCCCTGTGCTTGAAACACTTGTGTTATTCAATAAAGTTTGTGGGAATCTAACCAGAGCTAGTTAGGATCATAGAATCACAGAATGGTTTGAGTTGGAATGGACCTTTAAAGGCCATCTTGCCCAACTCCCTGCACTGAACAGGGACACCCACAGCTCCATCAGGTGCTCAGAGCCCCGTCCAGCATGATCTTTGGTGTCTCCTGGGATGCCTGGATCACCTCTACAGGCAACCTCAACCCGGCAATTCTCAAGCCAGAAATCCTGCAGACTCAACAAATACCTCAATTTGTGTTACAATGTGGGTCATACTTTATCTGACCACTTCTGATGCCAAACCCATGGTGGCAACCAGGTGAGGGAAGAGGAGAGCAATCCTGGATCCAAACTGAGCCCCGGAGATTGGGCTGATGCATGCGGAGAAAGAAAGGAATAGAGCAGTCCCAAGGGGAGAGTGATGTCAAGGTGGTGATGGAAACAGTTACTCACTGGATGTGAGAATTAATCATTAATTAATGACACTTTGAAAAAGGAGAAAACCCCGGGTGGATTTACAAGGTCGCTCATCTGTTGTTTAAGTGTGCAACCGTTGTGTTGGAGATAAGTGTAAAAGCAACAGAGCGCTCAGGGCTTCTCCAGAACCATAAAAACGTGGCTCGAGGTTTGAATTCGTTGGCAAAAAAAGGGGGGGAAGCCAATAAAGACCAAATGTGAGTGAGGACAGAAAACTCGGGAAAATACTTAAATTCTTCACGGCTTCCATAATTTCCTGGAATGCTCTCCAAGTATTTTATGCGGTCCTCAAGGATACCAGCGATCGTGCTCAGGAAGCTGTGTTGGTGACAGCAGCCAACACAGGTGTTGGCAGTCTGACCTGCTGCCAGAACCCAGTGCTGTGCCATGCAAGGTGTTGCAACAGGCACGGTTAGCTCAGAAACACAGAGCACGGGCTCTCCCATATAAATTCCAGTGCTGGCTCTGGGACAGAGGCACGGAGCATATCTGAGCCAGTGCAGTATGCAGCCTGCAGTGCAAAAGCAAAGAGCAGCCTGGAATGTGGAAAAATAATGCATTATTCACGAGAGGGATCGGCATTCAGCCTGGAACCAGCAGGGCTGACAAACTGCAGAGATGTTCCAGCAGCTGAACGAAGAAGGTTGCTGCCTACTTGCGCTTGGAAAGTTGAGACATGCAGTGACTAAATGTGAGCCCTCTGGCGTGCTGTTCTGAGTCGAATCTCAGCTCAAATCTCACCTTTTTGGAGTGTTGCACGAAACTTTCTACCATAACAGTGGTGGAGCCACTGCGTGATGGCAGTGCAGTCACTGACACCAGGGGCTGGGGACTTCCAGAGGGCACCAATGGTGAGCAAGGACTCATGTGCTCTTCTGGTGCTCCCAGGAATGGACAGCTGCAGCAAGGAAACAGAGGCTCCAAAAAGGGCTTCAAATGGGAGGTGACCTTAGGAGCATAGCCTGCAGGCAAACACAAGTACCAGCTCCACCAGCCGAACCTGGATGTTCTGGTTTATCTACAGTTGACCAATGGTTGACAAATGGTTGACCATAAACCAGCAGTGTGCCTTTGTAGCCAGGAAAGCCAATGGTGTTCTGGTTGACCAACAATTGACCAACAGTTGACCGTGAGCCGGCAGCATGCCTCTAATAGCCAAGAAGGCCAACAGGGCTTTGGGATGCATTGCAGAGAGCATGGCCAGTGGGGCAAGGGAGGTTCTACTCCATTCTGCTCTTCCCTGGGAAGGCCACACCTGGAGCACCAGCCTGTCCATCTCTCAGATCCACCCAAATGAAAAGCAGAACGATTCTGTGGATGTCTGGGGGATGGCACATTGCACACAGTCTGGTCACAAGGCTGTTGATGGAATATTATGAATTTAAATTCCTGCAGAAAGTGAACAAGGTACACTTTGAAAACCCATTTTAGAAATAGGAACAAATAGTTATATTGGGTCTGAGAAACACTGCCGTGCTATGATGAGAGCTGAGTTTCTCTGGATAAACCTATCTGTGCTTTTGCAGAAAATGAAAGTTTTGAGGTGCCCTTCACTAGTCATCTCCACACTCTCTGAAGCCACGCTTTTATAAATTTTCAGAGTTAAGTAGCAACGGGTAACTTAGCAACTTTCACTACTTCTCTGAAGTATGCTACCTACAAAATACTCAAGGATTTGTCATCTTTTTTTAACGTGCTTGGCTCTCAAAAAAAGCAATAATGAATGCAGATGAGTCGTCTACAGGGCTGGTGGTAGTCCAAGGATTCTGCAAGCACTTTGCAAACAAATAACCTCACCTATGTGAGTAATGACATTATTTGCACACGAGGGTGCCCTTGGTGGGTGCCTTGTAGATGATAGCCTACATGCAGACCAGAGAAGTCAAGGCCAGATTTTAGTCCAGTGGTTGCACTGGTGATGGCCACGGGCCATAGCAGAAGAGCACCCCAAACTTTAAGGTATGAAATAGTACAGAGCTAGAAAGGACATTTATAGAATCACAGAATCATTAAGGTTGTAGAAGACCTGTTAGACCATCTAGTCCAATGGTCAACCCATCCCCATCAGGCCCACCATGGAGGATGCTGAAGTCAAAGCCTTCTGGACAGTCAGGACTGATTTCTTATCACAAGTACAGTAATTGTAATGTAAACCTATCAAGCTCTATGGCAATGACTTCCTAGGTAGGAAGGCTGGACACAGTGATGCTCAGAGCAACTTTTGATTCCTTTACTGTAAAGGTGACAGAGCACTGGAACAGGTTGTCCAGAGAGGTTGTGGAGTCTCTTTCTATGAACATATTAAAGATTTGTCTGGACGCCTACCTGTGCGACCTACTGTAGGGTACCTGCTTTAGCAGGGGAGTTGGACTCGATGATCTCTTGAGATTCTTTCCTACCCCTGCAATTTTGTGATTCTATGATTCTTCATCTTTTGCCAGAGGCCACTCCTCTGATGAAGGAACCTCCTTTATGCCACTGGGGATGTGTGGTCTGCTGCCATTCCTGACAATGTCAGTAAGTCTTGGGATTGGACACTGACACTGAAGAGTCTTCCACTGGGTCATAGAATTGTCTATGGTATCACAGATATGGAAATCAAAGGGTTCAGGTCTTCATACTGAGGAGAAGGAATGCATGCAGGGATATAACCTACTGTGGGGAAACTGCTTTAGCAGGGGGTTGGACTGGATCATTTTTGGAAGTCCAAGTCCTGCAGCTCTGGGATCCTGTGATATTTGTAATTTGGGCTAGACTGAACCCGACCATTGACATCCAGCTCAAAGAGGTCATACGGAGCCCTGAGGCTGATCAGTAACAGGTGAAAAAATGTAGAAATCTTTAAGAGAAATGATTGGATCAGAGAACTCCATGCCCTCGGGTCACCAGGAGAGCACTGTTCCCCAGTGCTGTTTGTATGTGCTCCAGTAGCACTGGTGCAACCCAATCAACCAACACTATGTGGACCCAGAATTTTGCAGTTAATTTAATTTGATGAACTCATTAACGCTGTCAGAAACACAGAATTGAACTGTCAATATTCTGGAGCACCATCTTAAGCTGATCAGTCAAAATACTGAGATTTTCTCTTTCTCTGCTACTTTAATTTACCGTGGGTTTGAGCACATCTACTTTGGACTTGCAGAATTGAAGAGGTATTCACAGTAGTGACTAAATCACAAATGCAAAACAAGCATTTATCCTCAGAACCAGTATGAGTTACACAACGATGTTAGTTAGTAGTTAGAACCACTTTCACTTCACTTTGATAAATAAAACCTCCAAGAGGTTTCAGTTTGAATGCATCGTGAAGGGCAAAGTGTGTGGCTGGAATGGATATTTCCTACCAGCAGGCTCCAAGGTAAGGCTATTTTGATCAAGCACGTTGGACAAATAGATTCCAGGCCCAGTGTTTCATTTCTGCAGCATGGTGTACATTGACTATATCGATGCACTGTGATTTTTTTGATAGGGCTGCTGTAAATACGTGTTGTCGCAGCACAGAAGCCATCACACTAATGGCCAATCACATCTGAGCAAGCAAATATCAAACCTCATCATTTCCTAGGTCTTGAATTCATAGTGTTTCCCTAATACTAAACAGCACTACACCTGTAATTTTGAGGTTTATCTTCTAGCGTGCTTTGAATCAGCTCCAACTACTAAAAAATACGAAGGAAAATAAGGGTCACACAATAAAGGTGACAACAGGGAGGCAGATGCCGAGCACTGAAGACAAAAACCTTTACTCTGGATGCTCTGTGCTCTTCAAAAGCTGCTCACTTGCACACAACTCATTGGGGTTCATCATTAAATGAGACTTTGGTGACACCAATGCTGGTTTGAGTTGGCGCTTCATGCTGACGATGATGTGGCTGTGTCTCCTCATCTCTCTTTCATTTGCACAAAGACAGAGTGCAAAAGTGTATTCGTGGGCTGGGGAAATAGAGAACAAATTGGAGAGGGGCCAATCACCCAGAAGAAACTACCGACTTCAAAAAGATGGAAGTTTACAACACAGTGAGCTAAAGAGTGATTTATGCTCAGAGGGATTATTTTGTTGTATCAGCCCGTACCTAAACACTTGTGCTGCACATAACATGCTTTAACAAGATGTTTCGGGACTCCCTTTGAAAAAAGACAACTCTTAAAAAGAGAGGAGGTAGAAAAAGGGATAGCTCCTTACAAAGGAAAGGGGCAAAACGAAGCCATAAAGTCTGTGTAACAGATGATGAAATGAGCCCCAATTGCTGCCATCTGCTAGCAACCTTTGCCCAGCGAAATGAATTTCATGTGAGGTCAAGAAATCCCAAACTGCTATTTCCTCATTACTATTAATAAGGGCCAGGTGCCACATAAACCAGCGCTGGATCCAGATGTCCTTCATGTGGCTTTGATTACCCTCCTATGCTTGCATAATGATAGGAGGGAAAGCATGGCAAATGCACGCACAGAAACATATTTAATATTAATTTCTCTGCGATTGAATTACAGGAGATTAACACCACCAAACACCTTCCCCTCCACTAAGTGTCCAGAGTTCAGCTCTGTGGACATAACTCCTGCAAGGTGCAGTTCTTAAGCACCGAGCTACAGCCTGTGCAGCTGCTCTGTGGGCTTCTCCCATACTTTTCATGACGGCGTACAAGAACCAATTATGCAGGTGACAGCCAAGACGCAAGCAACCCTTCTCATTTGAATTTCATCAACAGCTTGTTGGGTAGCCCTGAGTGTCTAAAAAAGGATCAGTTTTCCCTGTCTCTGAAATGGGCACACTCATGTTGATCCAGAAAGACAAGAAATATAGTTGTGTCTTTTCACGGAGTCACCTGAGTTGGAAGGGACTCTTAAAGGTCATCTGGTCTAGCCCTCCTTCTGGTTAAGATCAGAATTCTACAGACAGGTATACCCTCAACACGTGGTATTGGTGGTTGTTTTGCAAACACTGAGGCAGTATGCAGGCACTGTCTGCATATCTACAAACTTAAGCAGTTTGTAGATAAATAAGCTTAACTCCAAACTAGATCAAGTCTTTGACTATAACATCAATCAAGATATGTTGTAGAACCATCAGCATAGCTGTGAAATTCAGCTAGGGAGCACAGAGGCATTTTACATCCCGGACTGTACACAGATATCATTTAACCAGTTGCAATCTATGCTTGAATAAACTATGGAAAGATAAATTATTCCTGAATTCTGTCTTCCGACTTTCAGTCTTGCCAAACCCATCATCAGCATCGCATTTCCTACGGACAAAACAAGCAGCGCGTGAAACTCAATCTTGCCAAACAAATGCAAATCCTCGCAGCGTATCTCTGCAGTCATCTCAATGATAGCTCCACAACAAAAACACAACCTCGAGAAGCTCATGAATATCCACCCCAAATTGTGGCAACAAATGCTTTGGTGGAGACATGCATGCGAAATGAAAAATCCCACTGATGCACCACAATGAATTCTCATGAACAAGCAGCACAGGATGGAAACACTCATTAGAGGGAGAATGTCTGTCTCTAAAAAAAAAAAAAACATTCTGACTTTGCATATGAGATGCTTCATGATGACCTATGAAGCATGCCTGCAGAACGAGCCTAAGCACTGAACGCGCACTTCCAAATCATTGCTGACTCCGCGGGGACGCTGCGTATCATCTCTGCAACCTCTCATCTGCTGCAGAGCCTCTCCCAGCCTCTTTCAGCCCAGATCTGTACTTCTTGAAGATCTGACGTGAGGCCAACGAAGGTGTAGATACAAGAATTTCCCGTTTCATCTTTTTTTCTTGGAACGCTGTCTTTAATTAGAACGATGTCAGCGCTCTGATTTGGAGCACGGCCCCTCAGAAACTGTAAGAACATAACTGCTGGAGCAGGAAATATTGGCACGGGAAAAGGAATGTCTCAAGCTGGCTTTGCTGTCAAAGTCAGCTCATTGTGCAGCTGAACCCTTCATCTGAGGCTCTGCTTTATCCAACTGCATCAGCCCAGTAAGGCAGTAGGGCCTCTCCTTTTGCTTGCTTAGCAAAATATAAAGCCCTAGGAAGGAGGGAGCAGTGCCCTGAATGCAGGAAGAAGTTCCTGGGGCTCCTGGAGCCCCTCTAGCCATGCCTGAGCAAGAGTTGGCTCTTCTTGTCTGCCTACAGTACTCCCAAAGGAACTGCTCTGTGCGCAAGGCTGTTCCACTTCTAATCCTCTTTTTGCAAATAACGCACATTTCTGATCACCCTGATCAAGCTGTGGATGTCCCTGCTCATTGCAGTTGGACTTGACGACCTCTGAAGGTCCCTTCCAACTCAAAACGATTCCGTGATTCTAGAAAAGCAAGTAAGCAAACAAACAGAAACCTTGAGTGGAGCAAAACTGAAAATGCACATGCTGGGCAGCCTCTCGACAGAAGATCTGTTTAGAAAATAGAAAACCCTTCAGCTGTTCCTGAAGTGCATTAGAATGAATAAGCATATTTTTTCCCCGAAGTCAAAAGCAAGTGCAGCCACAATGCTTTTGTGCAGAGCTTTGTTAGAAATGGTAGCGGCGAAAAGTTCAGACTTGGCATACGTGTCTTTCTCAGCTTGGAAAACATTAAACTGAACAAACTCCTGCCTGTTCCTGGCTGTGCAGTCCAAGATGTGATTAAGTACAGAGGAATGCAATTCAGGGAAGACATGAATGGAGCGAGTGCTCTGCATAAATGGTTTTACGCTATGGCTGTTCCTTCCTAATGGGGCAGCAGGAACACAGGAAAAATTGCACATCCCCGTGACAATTTTCTCAACTGCTATTTTTGAAAGTATCTATTTACTACGAGTCAGAAATAACAAAAAAAATATCCAAGTGCTACCCGCTGTCTTAGTTTGTCTTGCACATCTGACAGCGCTTTGTAGAATCGTAGAATCACAGAATCGTTTGGGTTGGAACGGACCTTTAAAGGTCATCTTGTCCAACCCCGTGGCAATTAATAGGGACACCCACAGCTCCATCAGGTGCTCAGAGGCACGTCCAGCCTGACCTTGGGTGTTCTCAGGGACATCCACCACCTCTTGGGATAACTATTCCAATGCTTCATAGAAGAGAATCGTTATATCATTAAGGTTGGAAAAGACCTCCAAGACCATCAAGCCCAACAATCAACTCATCATCATCATGCCTATACACAGAATCATTAAGGTTGGGAAAGACCTCGCTCCCAATACAGCGTTAAATGCTCAACATAAGTGGCTCTTCTGGAGTCTTTCTGGGTTTGACATCCTTTGGGATGCCCATAAACATGGCTTGTGGCGTGGAGGCACAAACTCAAAGCTTACTCTGAAGCTAAATCTGTCTATAGGAGTGAATTGAATCATGCCCAGGAGTGCTTTTGGCACTGCAACAAGGTAATTTACAGCAGTGAAGTGTGAGAATGCTCCTTGGCACAGCTTTGACACTTTTCAGCCATCACATTCCCCAGCACTCCCAAGCACGCTGCGGGGACCATCCCCAGTGCTGCATGCAGCCCCCAGGTCTTGCAGACCAAGGTGTTCCTGTGCCAGCTGGCTTCAGAATCACAGAACTTTTCCATGCACACAGACTTAGCCTGTGAGACTCAAGAACTGCTGCAATTCTTTTCAGCTTAATTGGGCAGGTAGAGCTGCCAGTGTGGTAGGCAAGCAGATGTACTCTTCTAAATTTCATAGAGTCATGAAGGTTGGAAAAAACCACTAAGGTCATTTAGTCCAATAGCCAACCCATCACCACCATGCCCACTGACCGTGTCCCTGAATAGAGTCATAGAATCATTAAGGTAGGAGAAGACCTCTAAGATCATCAAGTCCAACTGTCACCCCTCCCCACTGTGCCCACTTTGGAGGATGCCAAAACGTACACAGCAGCTTCAGATTCAGATATCAGCACAATGAGGCTTCTTCACGGCTCTTCAAGGTTAGGAATTTCCCTCTCCTGCAGAAAACTGGGACTCTCAAAAGTCCATCTGTGGGGCTGAGGAACAACCCTCCCACGATGTCCATGACCTCATGAGCGTGGTTTGGTGACAGCGTGCCCACTTTTTCCATTCGGTAACACAACCTCAACACTCATCAGCCTCATCTGCTCTGCAATGCTGTATGGTTCCCACCATCTTCTGAAAGGAAAAGATTTCCATTCCAGTCTTTAAACACTCCCATGTGAGCTCCTCTGCTGTGAGGCTGTTTCTGTGCCTGTCTGGCACCAGATCAGTTCTCTTGACGCTCTTCTGGATTTGTTGTATGTATTGTACTACATGCCAGAGACACGATACATGTGATGTACATCTCCGTGAATTCCTTTAACGTTCCTCTGAATATCGAACAGTACAGCTCCAATGGCTGTTTGTTTGACAATAAAACAAAGGTTTTAATATTTAGCAGATTATTTAAGTCTCTCACCAGCTGTGACGTGAACACGGTCCTGTTGTAAATTAGGATCTATGCTGGAAAAGAACTTTATTAGCTAGGACACAACAATTTTAGCAGTGGGAGAGAATAGTGTGATGGGTTGTGTGGCTTAATACTCCATTACTGAAATAAACTCTTTATACAGTATTTTTTCTTTCAGGATGTGATCAGGACTGGCCCAACTCATTTGAAGGAGTCCCTCAGTGCCACATTCCCACACTTCTTGAATACCTCCAGCAAGTGAGCCTACCACCACCCTATATGCAGCCTGTTCCAGTGCCTGACCACTCTTTTGAAGAAGGAACTGTTCCTAATATCCATCCTGTCCATGCTAACCTGGGCACGTTCAGCCCTTGGAATACATATGTTGTTTGGGGAGGTGGTGGAGTTGCTATCCCTGGAGGTGTCCAAGAAATGTGGAGGTGTGGTCCTTAAGGACATGGTTTGTGGGCATGGTGGGGATGGGTTGGACTTGGTGATCTGAGAGGTTGTTCTCCAACCTGAATGATTCTATGACTCTGCGTTGTCTTTA